AGGGTTACGTAAATAATAACGATTATAATGAAATTTAAAGAATAAGGCCTAAGTACGAAATAGGATAAAAAAAAGAGCCTGGCTTGTAGTAGGACGCGTTCCTGGCGGTCAGCTAATCGGCCCCCACAACCCCAATATAGCCTTTATTAATAGGGCTTTCTTGTGTGGTTTATGTAGGACGTTAAGGAAAATGTCCTACATACAAGAATATAGCAAATGTATACATGTAGTGAGAATAAATGGAGTATTAAGGTTTAAAATAGGGAGGAAGGATAGGGATATGTTGTTGAAATTGACATGTGGTGTGTGTGCTTGTAACAGGTCTTATACAAAATGTACCTTGAGGAATATACAACCAAGAAATGAATAGGCTAGCATTTGTTACTTTTAATGTTAGGGGATTTAATGTACCAGAAAAACGTTCACAGATCCTGTATCATTTTCATAAAAAACAAATGGATATATTATGTTTAAGGGAAACACATTTTAAGAAGGGGGCTAATCCTGTTATAAGAAAAAAATACTATACAAAATGGTATCGTAGCACAAACCCGGATAAAAAAGAAAGGGGGGTTTCGGTAGCAATACACAAAAATGCGCAAATTGAAGTAATACACAGTTATAGATGAAAAAGGGAGATATGTGTTTTTGAAATTTTCAATTTTAATCAAATGTATTCACTGGCGAATATTTATGCACCTACTAAGGGACAACATAGGTTTTGTATGTGGGTACTGAATAGATTCGAGCAATTTGGGGTAGGCATAATTTTGGTGTTGGGACATATGAATTTAATTTTTTACATTGACTTAGATACTGCAGGCAAGTTGCCCCCTCCAGGAGAGATCTTAAAAAGACTCAGAATTAAAATGGACAATATGAGGTTAGTAGATGGATGGCGTATATTATATCCCACAAAAAGACTTTACATACTATTCTATGATACATAAATCATATAGTCGGATAGACCATATATGGATGCATCAGCGGCTCTTAGACTATGACCCAGAGATTGAAATGGGCACGATATTATGGTCAGATCACTCACCAGTGTCTTTGATAATAAAAAGGGAGAATAGAAATGGAGGTATGGGAACATGGAGACTTAATGATCATTTACAAAAAAATATAGACTGCCAAGAAGTTAATTCTACAATAAATAACTTTATAAAAGACCATCAAAATTATACTACATCAAGCCCTATACAATGGGAGACTCTAAAATGTGTAGTAAGAGGTATTTTAGTTAAACATGCCTCTAGATTGAAGAAAGAGAGGGCAAGAAAATTGAAGGGTTTATTTCAGAAATTAAACAAGTTGGAGGCTATGAATAAGGCGAATGCGTCAACAAAATAT